GTAATAGTCCAGTAAACAGAACTCGCAGCGTTGTTTGTAAAGTATGCCAGGAAATGTGATTTAAAGGGAGTGTTTAGCCATGGCTGAAAATTGTGCTTGGCTGGAGSTATACAAGCAGCACACTTTCTCGTTTGCTGTATTTCAGATTTGGCCAGTAAAACATGTCCCTTTCTCTATTAGTATGCTAATGTGGAGCCAAGGTATTGCAGAGTGATCTGGGCAATACCACAGATATCTTCATGTGCTTCCTCTTCTCCTCTGTTTTTTAATCAGATGAAAACATTGACTTAAAATAGCAATTATATATCACTGTTATGAATTACGAAAGATTTTTTTTTGCTGCATCAGTTTAAGTGTTCTGTGTTTAGGGTGATTCACCTGTGTTGGGGGTAAGGGAAAAGGGACGTTGTGCCAGATGTGTAACTTCAACATCTGCCTACCCTTTCAGTCATTCTAAAAATATGCCTCTCATGGAAATGGTTTTTCATTTGAGTTTTTTTGAAAATRAGAAAATATTCTATGTCGAAGAGCCCCTTTTTGACCCTTAGTGGTAATTTTGTTTTTGTTAGCTCTCTTTTGTTTGAAGAGGAGCCTTCTCCATTACACCAAACAAGCTGCCTGTACTTCATCCCAGAGTGAAATCATAATTTTACGTTGAGCATAACAGGCTGTTGGCATGAAAATGTACATAGGGGATTTCTGTTGTAACCATGGCTGTAATCATGCAGTGCCATGAACTTACAGAAGTAGAGTTTGATTTTTCCTGAATAACACGGTGTAAGCAGTAAAACTAGTGATACCTGRTATTCCTTTAACTAGTCTTCTGGACTGGGTCCTCTTATTGCAACTAGAACGTGGCAGTGCCCTAAGCTCGCTGCAGTTGGACTATGCCTAGCAAACACTCGTTGTTGTAGAGTCTCTATTGTCTRGTAAGACACAACCTCTCTGGTTTCTTCCTTCAGTGCAGGGACTGGTAGCTCTGCTTTCTTACGTCCAGATGCCTGTTTTCACAAAGYTTGTAACAAATCTTGTATCTTTGAGGTATCTGCCCTCTCTCAGCTTAAGGGAGGAGGTTCAAAAGTTAATCAAGGATGAGGAAAAGAAAGACAGAAGCATATACAAAGACTGTGTTTGCACAAGCCCCATTTCCTTCAGATACCAGGCTAAAAATCATGATTTAAGTTTGTCATCATTTATAGGAGACGAAAGGTTAAAAAAGTGTTGAGTGACAGAATGGAGAAGAGAACGAGGATTTGGGGTTGCTGTGTTTGCGGAGCATAATCAGAGCGTCTCTTCCCTATGTTCAAGGAAATAACATATAAAAATTCCAATAAAATGTGGCTGTGCACTGTGAAACAACGTGGAAGTAATTTCCTTCATTTTCCTTCACAATAACTGTATTGAATTGGTTCTACTTATAAGTCTTTATTAAAAAAAAAATCTCAATGAGATCTTTATGACACAGGAAACTTGACTTCTAGGTTGCTTCTTTTCTAGAGCAGAGCCGTCTATATGTTAAGGATAGCGATGGTAGCCCAGTTTTCCAAAGTTCTTTGAACTCCACTGAAAAAAAAGGTGCTGTGCAAGAGATAAGCATTTGTTTTGTTTGCTACTTAATGGTTTTTGTAAGTAATAATAATTATTTTAGCACTATGAATTGCCATGGTAAAAATGAGGAAATATTCCATTCAATCTGAAAGTTAAATTCCTCTTTAAAAAATGTATAGAAAACTTTAAGAAAAAAATCTGTGAAGAAAAGTCTGGAAAGACTGCAGAAACAATTGAAATATATATATATTTATATATATATGTATAAAATATGGTGTTTAAACAAAACATACAGTCAACTGGTGAAAACTGCTTTGCTTTCCGGACTCTAGTTTTGTTTTAATTGGGAACACAAACATTTGAAAGTCAAGGATAGTAATTTGATTTCAAAAGAAAGCTGCTTGAAACAAGCATCAGTCAGAGCTAACGGGAGCCATATGTTGGATCCTTTATGTCAGTGATGTGGTCTTCCAAAAAAAAAGAAAAAAAAATTAGGAAAAGCTTATGCRATTTTTTTCAATAGATCTTTCCAAAGAAGTTGTATTAAACCTTGTGTTCAAAAGCCTAAACAGTATTTATGCACATAATTGATGCTAATATATTAAATAGTAAACAAGAGATATTTTCTGGTGTTGGGCGTCAAAGAATTTTGTTCGCTTCACTGTAACCGCAGAGCACTTGTCGCTTCCCAGAGCCCAGGGATCTTTGAGATAAAATTTGGCAAATTAGAGCCTCCCTAAGCAAGGGGCTTTGGGTCTGCTGAGGGTTTGCAGATGTGCCAGCCTCTCTAATCGAGGCTCACCAGTGATCTCCAGCAGACATCCTGCTGGCAGCTCCAGGTCTGCTTTGCTCCAGGATTAATTCTGGCAGCAGCAAAGGTGAAGCAAGAATTGCCTTGGTGCAATGGAGGAGGCTGGAAAATTTTCAGTGGGAAAGTGGCTGGTGATAGTCCCATATAAAGCAAAAAGGAAGGCTCTTGCATCAACCAGTGTGTACTGTCCGCGGGTTTTGGTAGTCACAATCCTTTTAATTATAAATGTGTATGCAATTGTGGTCTTATTTATAGTTAATTAATCAGCTATTAAGTTCCCAAATGCTTGCAAGCAAGTGCTTATGTTATCTTGGCCTGGTTGAGCTGCAGCACGCTTTGCTGGAGCTTGCGTTGCACGAAGTACCGGTATCAGTGACTTCATGTTGTGCTTTACAGGGGTGAGCTGGGGAAGGATAAACACTGGTTCGGCTGGAAGTCTTCCAACAACGCACTGGGCAGGAGGCAAGTGACACGTGTGGCCTTGGTGCCCAGCCCTCCTGCAGGCCCTTTCCCTCTTCAGGAACACGATTCCTGCACTGAGGCCCACCTTGTGCCTCCTCAAGGTCTGCTAGCAGTGAAATGAGTCCCCTTGGATGACAAGGAAGGAGAGGGCAAGGGAAGGGAAGGAGAGAGGGAAGGAGGAGATGTTCCTCTCCCGCTCTCCTGTCACCCGTGTGTGTGGGAGGGCTGGTCTGCACCCGGGGTTGTGCCTGGGGCTGCTCCTTCCATGGTGCTGGGTTTAATCCTGGTTTTGCTTCCTGGATAAGTGAGCTCAGGAGGTTACAGCCCTTACCTGGGTGCCCGCATAGCTCCCGGGGGAACCCTGGCAGCCCATTGCAGGGCCCAGTGAGCCTGGGCAGGTTACACCTCTCCTGGAGGTGATTTATACCTGTCCTGTTTCAATCAGATTTACACACATGGATGTCAGGGATGCTCACAAGGATGCCCATGGCAGAAATAACCTCTGGGACAGGAATTTTTTAAACTGCTTAGCTAAACTGCATAATTCTCTCATCATTTGGGTGCTTTTTAGACATGAAAACAGTCATTAAGGAAACTGCCCCCTCCAATAAAGTGCCTCCCCCTCTCCTTTTTTTTTTTTTTTTTTTTTTGTGCTTCCTGCTGTTTGGAGATGGTAAACTTACCTGTCTTGCTGGTTACAGATTACATATCATATCTCAGGTACAACTGTTTGTAAGCAGCAATAACTGGTTTGCTTGTTTTTCATTTGCAAATCATGTGGGGTGTTGGACACACGGTCATGCAAAAGTTATCGTGTCTCCTTGGTAGCCATCTGTGATCCTCGAAATTGCCATTGCTTGTCTGTAAAGCACACATGGCAGCGGCTTTTCGGGCACATATAAATGAAGGATATCCAGAATTTTGAGACCATCACTCTGTGTCTCTGGTCTGGCAGGAGTGAGGAGACTCTGCGTGGTTCAGATCGTTGCTGTGTGGGTCATGGGTGTCACTGCTGCRCAMYAGGTTGTRCAGATGGTCTATGGAAAAATATTGSTTGTAAGTCTKAAGTGAAACGGTACCACAAGCTGAGAAAAAGAAAAGATGAAGAAGAAAAATAATCCTGGTGGGGGAACCAAAGTGCTGAGTGTAATGCAAGATTAAATGATTTTGGTACTCACTTTTTGAGACTGCACTTCCTGTTTAGTAGAGAACATAGAATTAATAGGGCCAATAATAATCCTCTAAAATGTGGAGAAAAGTTTGAGTTTGAATGGACTCATGGTGGTTTTATTTCTGATTTACTCACAAAATATGCTCATCAGTAGCAGAAATATGGTGAAGTTCTTGAGATTTCCAAACCCCTTGGATAAAACTTAATCCTGGGCTGCTGTTTGACCAGAAAAACAGTTCATAGCCTGATACCTCTCCTGGTTTTTAATGTATGAGTTGACAAAGGGTTTTCAAAGGGAAAATGAGGAAAAATTATTTGGATTAAGTTACCACATAGTTTTGAGGGCATGCCCAAACGATTAAATCTCCTCTTAAAGAAAGAAAGAAGAGGGGAAAAAAAAACAGTCAATGCAAAGACATGGAGTATGTAGATCCAGGAGGGACCTATTCAGGATATCAGTCTTTGCATGTTTAATGCTTTTATGCCTCTAAAGAGTGTGTGTTGCTCTCTGTCAGCTGAGTGAAAATCTGACTCATTAACATTTTAACATATTTTGTCTGATTTTTTTTTTTACACTACTGAGAAATAATCTCTCATTTGGAAGTGGCTAGGTGATCTCTACTGCTTTCCTTTGAAAGGAGAATAAAATGTCTGCCCAGAAAAATGTATGTAACCCTTTTGTTTACAAAGGGTTACCTCATAGGCCATTCAAGCATGAGGTTTTGCAGCCAGTAAATGCCAATTGAAGCATTTTTGCCACTCCGTCTACAGCATCCTTTGAGAAATTGTGTCTACGTTGTAATGTATTTTTAGCTTTCTAGAGATGACCRCATCTTTCTGAGTTTTGAAATAAATGCTGTGGATGGTCCTTATTGCGAGGCTTTTATTCCAAGAACACGATAAAAAGTACAGAGCGCATCCTCTCCGGGTTACATCTCTACAGAGTTGTTCTACGAGTGGTGTTTTTTAGACAAAAAGCTTCACTGCGTGTCTGGTGTCTCTCCGCAGGTGATGTGTCACCCATCAGCATGTCTCCCATCAGCCAGTCGCAGTTTATTCCACTCGGGGAGATCCTTTGCCTGGCCATCTCAGCAATGAACTCTGCCCGAAAGCAAGTCACGCAGGAAGCACTAATGGAGCACCTGACAACCTGCTTCCCAGGTAATGCACCCACACAGAGCAGCGGTGAGATGGGCGCTTCCACTCCCCAAACAAGGGCTTCCTCATCTCTTTCTTTTAAAAGAGGAAATTTTGATGTTTAGTAGTCCAGTTTTCTTCACTGTTCTGGATGGGAATATTTGATTAATCCTGAGATGCAACACAGAAGTAAAAGGAGACCTCAAGGTTCTAGTTTTATAACCTTTCTCTGTTTTCTGTTCTTTTACGCAGAATGAATCAAGTTCACTTTGTTAGGACTATTTGTGTGAGACACGTTTTGCAGGATCAATTCCTGACATCATGTAAATATTTTTTAAAAAAAAGTCTTGAGGTACTAAACCACAAACTATATTCTTTTGTTGTCTTCACATGGACATCAGAACAAGCTTGATATTTCTCACAAAAAATACCTTCTTTAGCACTCTGGTCAAAAGCACTGACTTTCTTTAGGACTTAGGGAGAACAAGGCATGTGTCATAGCCAGAGCAGACTTACTCCAAGCTGATTTGAAGCTAGCTAGTAAGAGCTCTGTGGACTTCAGCCACCGCAGGTGCCGTTGTTCGCTCTCCGTAGGCATAATCTCATGAAGATCTGTGTAGATTTCATGTTTCCCACATACTTGGTCTTCCTGCAAACCATGCAGGCAGACTATCCAGTGATAATAATGTGTCTTTTGGATTTTTCTATTTGTTTGTTTGTTTGTCTGTTTCCTCTGGGGGTTTTCAGAGGAGGTACTTAAACCTAATGGCCTTTTGGTTCTGGTTTTTTTTTTCCTGCTATTTCTGCCCATTGCATGAAATTATTCTTTTTTTTTCTCTGATTAAGAGGTTTGGAGAGCCAGAGATAAACTTGTTATGTTTATAAACACTGTGTTTTGTTCAGAAATGTTCTTGCTGGCATTTGCTAATGTCAATCAATGTTTGCTAATTTCAGTAAAATGGCATTTTGGATTGAAGATGGAAACCTGTATTAAGAATTTATTCATGAATATGCAGCTGGAGTTAATGGGATCACACCAAACAGATCTTGCAGAGGCAGCTGAGTGCAAATAGTGTCAAAATGTGGTGTAAAAGCTTTGGGCAGAGGCCTGCAGCTTGGGAGAGCCCCGCTGTCTTGAACTTTTTAGCTGCAAATTTTAGAGCATGGGGTTCTTACAGTGTTGAAGGGTACCTGTTTTTTGCTGTAGCTGGTGTGAAGTTCTGAGATCTTAAAACACAATTTTAAATCTTGAGCTGGTTTTTGAATTAAGCGGTTCTGACTGATATCTGATAAGGGCATTTCAGAAAGAAGTACTGCAAGCATATTTTGCAAATACTTGGGTCATTCTGTCCCAATTTGTGGCTTTGTTTATGTGTTGATTTGTTTGGGTTTGTTTTCCAGTAGACTTTGCATATTTTAGAAGTAGCTAGACATGTTGGATAGTATCTAAAGAAGGGAAAGTTGAAAATTGCAGTTCTAGTTTAAATGAATTTTTGTAATTTTTTTCCCAGTTATGTTTTCTGTTTTGCTATGCACCAGAAAGGTTCCATAGATTGTAGATGTTTTCCCAATGATGCTGTCAACCTGTTTAATAAAAACATTGTTGTGTGCTGGAAATTATAATTTATTGATTCCATCCCTTGGGCTTCCTGGGAATGTGGTTATCCATTGCCTTTGCGTTTTGTGCTGTTCCTGCTGGACAGAAACGTACATAAAAAAAAAAAAAACCCCATCAACAGGCTGGATTATTTTGTAGACTGCTCACAAGGAGCCTGAGGCAAGTTAGCACACAGTCTCTTGCTGCCTTTTTTTTTTTTTTTTTTTTTTTAATTTCCTCTACATATGAACATGTGTATTTCTCAAGTCTGAAATGAAGAAAAGGAGAGCCTTGTGTTTCCTACTGCACCTCCCCAAATGTCCAAAAAATGAAAAAATGAAAAAAAAAAGAAGGAAAAAGAAAAGATCTACCCTTTGTTGTCAGATTGTTTTTCCCCTCTCTGGAAGGTGCCTTCCTCTCCAGGCCATACCATAGTTATCCCAGCGAGCCTGCGCATGGCTGTGGTCATTATTTGCAGATCTTGCACCTTTCCAATAAACAGAACCTCTCCTTGTGCTCAGCAATGCCTCCACTTGCCTGTCCAAGCTCTCACGTAAATCAGCCTGTGGCTTTTTGAGCCTTTGCGTTGTGCGTGGCTCCTTGCAAATATCTCCTACCCTGCCCTGTGTTGATAGTTTATTTTCCCTGTTTTCCTTGCAATGCTTTGAGAGAGGAGAGCGTCACCGATGGAGTCATATTTACCATTGTCAAATAACCTCCGTGTGCATCTCGCCCTGTAGCAACACGTCCCTGTCCATGGTGTTCGTGCCCTAACCAACAGATGCTTCACCAAGTTTCACACTGTATATAAATTTCCTAAGAGCCCCAGATGCCGTTTTCCAACTGCCTAAGAACAGTAATAAACCTCTTTGCTCGCTGCAGGATCTTGCACTTGCAGCCTGGCCCTCCAGTTTGCTGAGCCATTGTGCAGACACAAATCTGGGCCACGGCTCGATCTGAAATAAGGTATGCAAATTATTTATAACATCACATAGCAACCACTCCACATCCTTAACTAGTATTTCATGAGCCAATCGGAATACTTCCTTTATCCCTTGTTAAGCCTCAGCATCAGCTCAGGAGGAAATCATTTTAACAGATTTAACACCATTTAAATACTACTTCAGATTTATTTTTCATAGATTTATTTTATTGAAAAAGTTTGTAATGATAAAGCATATCTTGTTTGTTCCTTTGCAATTTATTTTTTTTCTAATCAAGAGAGTTATGCTGCACATGCTTCCATTGTTCTAGCTTAAAATTAAACCACAGGATGTTTTTTACAGCCCTCAATGACATTTGTAGACTGATCATGGTTTACGTTCCATACACTGAATATAAATCTTTGGAATCCAGTAGAACAGCTATGGATGTAACATCTTTTCCCGTGTTTGGCAGACAGACTTTCTTATCAGTATGAACATGGCTGAAGGAAACGCTGAGCCTTTGTTTATGCAGGTTTTACTTTCTTCATGCAGGTTTTACGAAAACTTTTTTTTTTCACCTCAAAAATTCATTATGATACTCTTTCCTTTTTTTTTTTTTTTTAACAGTTCTCTAAAAGCCGGCCAATTCCCATAACTTGCCTCTCAGAAACCTTCCGGTGTGCGCCCCGTGCGTGTGCAGCACCAGGAGATGGGCGCTGCGTGGGGCGAGTTCACCCTAGGTCAGCGTTCCCTGCGAGCAGCAGGCGAGACGCTCTCCTGCCGGGAAGCGCCGTCGGTGCCGCGCGAGACTCTCCCGAGATGCAGGAGATGTACATGTCTGATGATTCAGTGGCCAGACGGTTTCTGCTTTTGAATTATTAAAGCACTACATAATCTTAAAGAACACCACGGCTGTCGTGCAGTATTTTAAATGATGCAGGCTCTAAACTGCTTTTTTTTTCTCCTTCTTGCTCTTATTTACTGGGAGACAGAAAAAGGAGATGTCTGTGAGTAAAGGGGGGCAGATTTCATATGGATGTGATGTGGGCAGGTTGCTGGGAAGAGAGAAGCCTTGAGAAAAAGGCAGGAAATGGTGTTTCTTTCCCTGCTTCTGCCACTGGGTTGCTATCAAGTTGCCTCGTGCAGATGTGCAGTTTCCTCTGTGCTGTGGACAGTAACCACTGGCTAGTCACAGTGAGCCGCGTGGATCTTCCCACCTGGACTTATCTGGTTCCCAATTTCTCTGCTTGGGATAATCAAATTGTTTACAGGACCAAGAAGCCACTTTGGCTTATTCCTGCTCTGGCTCACAAAATGTGAAAGGTATGGTTAAATGACAAATAGTTAAAGGACAGGGGGAAAAAAGAAAAAAAAAAAAAAGAAAAAAACCTCCCCCTCTGCAGGCTTTGGGAGCTGGCTCCGGTTTGCTCCCATTTTTCCATTTCTCAATAGTATATTTACTTAATTTGGGACTGCACTGAAATTGGCCAACAGCTTGGCCCACTTCTTTGCCTATGGCACAGCTTTCCTGCATTTTTTTCTTGTAAACTTTTTACAAGTTAAAAGATGTATGTAATGAAAGTCCACGCAGAAGAATATGCATTTTACTTTTTAATCAACCTGTCACATTCCGACATGGAAATCCCACCAGCCTTGTGTCTAAGAGTGCAGAATATCCTTGTGTTCTTCAGCTGTGTGGACAAGAGCTGCCTCCTGGGAGGATCTCGCTTCCCAGGGTTTGTATGGSAGGTTTGAGCTTCTAGACTTGTCAAATTCCATTACAGGCCCCAAATCAGGTGCAATAAATTGGGACCCTCCTGCACACTGTTTGTGTCACCCATTACAACGTGGGCTTGGATGGAACCCCAGCTGTTTCCTGCTGCTTCAATTTTGAAACCCAAAGAGACAAAAACAGGAGGTGGAGTTTTGGAGTAGCAGGTCCAGAGGGAAAATCAAAGTAGTAGCGAGAGGAAATTGTTGGCTGGGATAAGAAGAGAGAAAATGGGAGAGAAAAGTGGAAATAAACACAGAAAGAAAGGGAAAGTTCTGAGATGTGAAACATAAATTTACTTGTCAGCAGAATAAATTGACTTGTCAGCAGTTTGGGAACCAGTTTTGCTTGGTAATTTTTTTTTCCATGTTCTTCTTTTACTTAGATTGTGTATGTTAAGGTTAGAAATCTATTCTAATAGTCATTGCTAAGCATTTAGCACTTCTAGTGCAAATAAACTCATTGATTTTTGTGCTTATTTAACTCAGGATATGAGCAGTGGAAGCTAGTCAAGCATACCTCTGCTGARCCTATATCATACATAGCCGTGTTTGAAGTACTCGTGTAAATACTAAGTATAAAGAAATATTTAAACTAAGACCAGCAAGTGCCTGAGTGCTGCTTCCCACCATGTCAAAACGCCAAATTTGAGTTTAAGTCTATTTCTGCTTTTGTAAATGGAAATATCCCTGAGAGAGTGACCTTATAAAAGCCCGTGCCAGTGTTAACTGATGATTTTGGCCTCCAAAGATCTTCCCATCTGCCAGCATCCCAGGTGGGACAATGAAACACAGGGATTTATGGCAGGAGTGRCAGTCTCCTGCTCCATAAGAGACATCTTTTTAGTTACACACATAACTCSGAGCATCACTGGCTGCCCAGGTATGGTGATTATTTTTTTTTCCCTTTGGATTTGCCTGCACATTCTGTAKTCACAGGATTTAATCAATGTAACTAGAGTGCATCCAGTGTTTAGAGACTCATTTACCCACCGCATTGTAGTCATTATGTTTTATTGAGTGAAAAATACATATTATTATTTTTATCATGTATTTGCAGTGCATATTTGCATAAGATMGTATAAAACATCAGCAGATCCATTTCAATCTCTCTTCCTAACTCTTMTGTAAACTCCCAGGAGAGTGTTTTCCTCTCTTTATATTGTACCTTTATTCTTAATCAGCGTGGGTTGAAAAAAAAAGTCCCAAAGGAAAACCAGGATGGAGGCCCATGCCCTCCCAGACAAAAATAGGGATGTGTTGAGACACTGGAAAGCTGCTGGATTGGTCAGGTTGTGTATGCAGAGGTGGGAGGAAGGGGTGGCTGCTGCACAACGTTTGCATCTCTGTGGCAGCAGGGCTGGACCCTGCARTGCCCAGGAAGAAGCAGCCCCTGTGCTTGGCTTTGGGGTCACCCACATACTGTGGTGAAACAGTAAGCCATTTCTGACATGTTTGCATGTCCACGTATTGCAGGGTCTCTATAGGATTATCCCATTAAATGTGGACACCTTGAGAAAAAAAAAATACGCATGTTCCTCATGCTCGATTTCTCTTGCTTTTTTTTGTTTTTGTTTCCCACTCATAGTTATTCTCTAAAATTATATCCTCTCTCTACCTCTTTTATTCCTCTGACTGGATCATCCACAACCTTTGATCCAAACTTCTGTGGACTGCGTGAAAGACATCTAATACCCCCATGTACTTCTCTATGAAACCCTCTTTGCTCTAACTGTGTTCACACATAGGTCCATGTTCTTAATATTCTGCTCTTTTCATTATAAGATTTTAGTTATAGCCATTACTAGGTGTGAGTTGTATAGAAATGTCTCTAAATGCAAATAACTGTGCATAAGACTACTAATATGTTTCCTGCAACATGCTAACAAGGAGGAGGGTGCGTTGAGGAATTCCTATGAATTTTCTGTTTCTTGTCTCCTGTCATTAAATCCTCTGGAAGGATGAATTCTAAGCACAAGAATGTGTGTGTAGCTGCTACTGCTAAAATACAGGAACAACAGTGTATAATCATTCAAATRGAAGCTGGGTCCTGGTGTTCTCCACTTGAACTGTGCACATTTTTGGTAAAGTGGATTTCAGAAGTTTATCTTAAGAAGACATGTTACACAAGAGGAGGTTTTGCCACTAAGAGAAAAGGAAAAGCTAATAATTGAAAAGTGCTTTTGCTGCAATGTAGTTGTGCAGGTTATATATGCAGTATTGTTAAAAACATTAGGTTTAATATGAGTAAATCCAAGTGTTTGGTTGATTTTTGTTTACAAAGTGGCAAGTCTGCACAGAAGGTAGAAGGAGTGAGTTGTTTGTTTCTGTTCAAACAAAAAAAAGAAAAATAAGATGACGTGTGGTGTTTGTAGCCAAATATAGTTTCTCTTTTACTCAGGCTGAGTTTCTGCTCTGTGTGTCCAGAGCTCACCTGCGTAGTTAGATGGCACCTTCACCCATTTCTCCTCTTGCTCGTCATGAGCTCTGACCTCAGGTGTAGTAGGTTGTTTGCTGCCTTTAGAAGTGGACAGTTCAGGTGKGCTGCCCACACTGGAGTAAAGGCACAAAATTTGCAGACAAGAAGGGCCGTGTTTGCTTCTTGGCAGGAAGGCCCCTCTTCAAGCAGGGAGGTGCCTGCTCCACCTCAAGTTTGGATATAAGCATTACCACTTAGCAGTGTAATAGTAACCTACAGAAGAGGGACTAGAAACTAATTCTTTCTTAATTATCTTGCTACTGTAGGCTTAGGGGGAAGAGGGGAAAGTATGATTAGCTGTTCCCTTAATTCCAGTCAGGACTTAACTCGGGCAGAGCTCCTCTAGATTTCCCTTCAGCACAAACACTAGTTCTGAACATGTTTTCAAGGTGTGGGGCATAGGATTTATCCCGTTCTTCCTAGAAAGTTTTGGCTGCCCCTTGGTTTAGCTGATTCTCTTCACCTTCTCTTCATTCTATACCTGCTGGGTAGTTTGTATCTGTTTCATCTGCAGAAGCCAAGGAATTTAACCTACCTCCTGTTTTGCTTTATATGCCTGGCATAGTAAATAGAAGGTCTGTGTCCCGTATTTTCCATCCTGGAGTCAAGCGTTAGGGTACTTGGCAGCAGGAATCCTGTTTTCCAAGAGCTTGCAGGAGGTGGTAGAGCAGCTTCTAAGCTTCGCAGCTGGTCACCTTGTGATCTGCCCAGCACGAGGAGACTTCCCATTGTGTTACCCTACCTGGAGAGGTTGTGAAGGCCAGATCCGTTTGGGTGACCGGGTATTCTACTGCAGACTCTGATCCCATCCCCAAGAGCATGCACATGCTGAATGAGCCTTGCACCAAGAAACTYGAGCTTGTAGGAAAAAAAGAAGCTGCTCAACAAGGAATTTATGAAATATATAGTATAAAAGTTTTACCTCTCCACTCCTTTTAAAGGAAATGTTGCGCAAGCTCCTGCACACTCTATTGTATTCCCGTGATGAGGTCTCTAAGCTCTGTAGTATTCATTTGCATTTAAAAAAATATTTTAAAAATATAGTCTTCTTCCAGACCCGTTTGTTTGTCTTATTTCAGAATTCCAGATTAGTCAGTAAAGAAACAGGAAATTCTTGTTTTCTTTGTCATGTAGGGCACTCAGATGTGTTCCAGTTTTCATTGTCCTGCCTTTTGTCACACTGTGCTGCTGAGCTGGCTTTTCAAGCTCGTTTTAAGTGTGYAGTCACCAGTGCATTAAATGTGATGGGATTTTGGCCACAGTGCAGGGTGCTTTTGCTCTTTTTCTAGTGTTTGTCACCACAAGGTGTTSAGTGAATTTGCCAGCTCTAGTGCTGGTGATGATGCACTGTGTGTGACGGAAGATCCTGCGTTGGTGGCGAGACTTTTCCATGCAATGTCTTCAGGAAAAGGACCTCCTTTGCTGAAATGTTTCTATCTGTGTGAGTTTGGGGAATCTTCATCCTTAAAGATTCAAAGTTTGGCTTGACAAAGACCTGAGTGACCAGGGGAGCTGCTTTCAAAAGGAAGGTTGAACACAGGACTTCCAGTGGTTCCTTGCAACCTAAGTTATTCCAAGCCTTTCTTTTTTTTTCTTAAATGATTTTTGTTGAAAAGGAAGCCTAGAGTACATAATATGAACATTTTAGTTAAAAAAAAAATCCAAACTTGTTTTAAAATTTTTCTTTACTTAAAAAAATGTAAACCAGGTCACTACCCGAAATGAAGTTAAAATAGGTTTTCAGTTCAACAAAATGTATTGCTTGAAGATAACTTTTTCTACTGAAAAATGTGAAAGGTTTTTATTTCCTGTTCAATACAAATGGGTTATAAACTTGTGAAGTAAGTAACTTATTCCATTAACTCTAGATGGAGCCTATTCCTACGTGCAGCATACAGCYCTCGTGTTTTATCTAATAAAGTATTTAAGACTTGGCCCTGCACCGCTGAACTCAGCAAGAATACTGGTGGTGGGGAGGACCAGGCTTGCAGTGTCAAAGCATGCCCATGTGCAGGGGATGCAGGGCTCTCACAGCTCTTCCTTTCTTAGCAGGTGCTCCATGCGCTCAGGGAGATGTCCCTCATGTCTCCCGTGACAGGTAGAGGGCTCTTAGGAACTGGAGGCTGTTAGGAGCTAGATCTGTAGAGGAACTGGATCTATAACTTGCCGTGTAGTGGACAGGTTTGTTTGGGTAAGTTGAGCCACCTCTCTGGAGCAGCAGCTGGAGCAGCTGGTGCCATCGAGGCCTGTTTGAGCAGGAGACTGAGTAGGTGTGATCAGGTTGGTGACAGAGGAGCAATTTGGGGGAATGCTTTTCTTTCCCAGCTTTACTGGAAGATGACATAGGCATCCAAAGTAACAAATATCCACGGTTTTATAGCTGACTATACATTGTAATGGATAGTTTTGGTGAATTGGTATATAAATATTTGGTTGGGAGAGGAGTGAAAATGAAATGTTTGCCCTGATTTCCTTTGCTTTACCTCATCGATTCCATTTTGTAGCTTAAGGTCACCTGCACAATAAACTGACTTGAAGTTCTCTTTTTTTTTACACTCCATTAATGTCCTCTTTTCTATTTAATTAATAATTCATATGTCTGAAGTGTAGGAGATAAGTGGAAAAACAAACAGACAAGGGGATGCCTAACAAAGTGCTTTGCTGGAGTTGTTTGTTCAGCATATTCCAGCTTGCACTTGGAAAAACAACTTCTTGTAGGGGAGGGAGGGAGGGAGTCGGAGGCTTGTGCACTGCCTGATCCGTGTTTGCTGTCATTTCCAGGGGTTCCAACACCCAGCCCTGAAATCCTTCGGCATACCTTGAATATGCTGGTGCGGGAGAGGAAAATATACCCCACTCCGGATGGTTATTTCATTGTAACCCCCCAGACTTACTTTATCACACCCTCTCTCATAAGAACTAACAGTAAGTGGTACCATTTGGATGAGAGGATACCTGACAGGTCTCAGTGCACCTCTCCACAACAAGGAACTGTGACTCCCTCCACGTCAGGATGCGTCAGGGACCGAACGCTGCCCAAAAACCACTGCGACTCCTGCCACTGTTGCAGAGAAGACATGCACAGCATGCATGCATCTACCCTACAGAGGAAATCAGCAAAAGACTGTAAAGACTCGTTTTGTCCTCCTTCGCTATGTCAGGTCCCACCTACTGAGAAAAGTAAAAGTACTGTCAATTTTTCTTACAAAGCAGAGACACTCACAAAGCCCAAGGAYGTAGAAAAGCAGACTAAGAAATTTGGACTCAAATTATTCCGGTTAAGTTTTAAGAAGGACAAGACAAAACAGCTGGCGAATTTCTCTGCCCAGTTTCCTCCGGAGGAGTGGCCGCTAAGGGACGAAGACACCCCTACCACTATACCCAGAGAGGTGGAAATGGAGATTATCAGGCGCATTAACCCAGACTTGACTGTGGAAAATGTCATGAGGCACACTGCACTAATGAAGAAACTTGAAGAAGAAAAAGCTCAACGGAGCAAAGCTGGATCATCAGCTCACCACAGTGGAAGAAGTAAAAAAAGTAGGAATCACAGGAAGTCTCACGGGAAATCGAGGTCGCACAGTAAGACTCGGGTGTCCAAGGGAGACCCATCTGATGGTTCTCATTTGGATATACCTGCTGAAAGAGAGTATGAGTTTTATGATCCCTTGACTCGATCCCCACGGGAAGGTTGTTTTATAATAGAGCACAAGGGAGATAATTTTATAATGCACAGCAACCCTAACATGATTGAATCTCACTTTCCCATGACACCGGAGTGGGATGTGTCTGGTGAGTTGGCCAAAAGAAGAACTGAAATGCCTTTTCCTGAACCTTCCAGAGGGAGCTCCCACTCCAAGGTCCATCGGAGCCACAGCCATACACAGGATAGAAGATCAAGGAACGAGAGGTCCAGTAAGGCCAAAGAAAGGTCTAGATCTATGGATAACTCCAAGGGCCCTCTGGGCTCTGCTACTTTGGGCACACCTGAAGACATTGGCGAAGGCTGTAGCCCGGATGACCAAACGACCAGCCAAACCTACATCGACGACAGTACCTTAAGGCCATCTCAGTCACTCAGTCATCAAAGGGCTCTCATGTCGTCCGCAGGCTACAAAGAGACCTGCATCCCCGAAATCGTTAGTGGCAGCGTAGAAACCCCCAGTTCCTGTAGCCTGTTGGAGCAAAACAAGCCGACGGAGAGCCTGCCGTCCTACAGCGAGCTCAACTCCTGCGCCACCAAGTCTGCCGTCGAGGACTATTTCCAGTGCAACACGTCCAGTGAGACCGTGCTCACTGCCCCGTCACCGCTGGGCAAGAACAAGGAGGACCACGACACGCTGACGGTGGCAGACGGGCTCAAGAAAATGGCCGCCTCCGAGAGACAGTCCCAACACGTTGCCAGGGAGCCTGGCGCGCACAAAGAGGAGTCCCCCAAGACGCCAAGCAGCAGCTCAGCAGTTGCCGGCCAAAGCCCGGAGGTGATTGCCAATGGGCGCCTGGTGCAGCACCACAGCGCTGAGTCGAGCAGCCTTGACAAAAGGAAAGAAATATTTAGCAAGGACACGCTCTTCAAACCTCTGCACAATACTCTCTCTGTGAACAGTTACCACAAGTCTGGCACAGCCCTGCTGAAGCCCCATCAGAAGCCGCCCTCTGACACACTGCCTGTGAGATGTGAGAAGCTTGAGCAGGCGCTCGTAACCTCAGTGACCCAGGGCATGCCCGTCCCGCAGCGACCGCAGGAGGCGGGCGGCACCCAGGAGGCCTCCTTCGACTACTACAACGTGTCTGAYGACGACGACTCCGAGGAAGGGCCAAACAAAAACGCCGAGGAGGAGAAGAACCGGGATGATGTTGGCACTATGCAGTGGCTGCTCGAGAGGGAGAAGGAAAGGGATCTGCAGCGGAAGTTTGAGAAGAATCTCACTCTTCTCACGCCGAAGGAGACGGAGAACAGCAACAACCAGAGAGCCACCCACTCAGCTCGCCTGGACAGCATGGACAGCAGCAGCATTACTGTGGACAGCGGGTTCAACTCTCCACGGTAGGACTCTCACATTCATTGCAACTTTACAGGCTAGAAAGTCTCAATTTGTAGTAAATTCTTTGTTGGATGTTAGTGAAAGAGCATAGGGTGGTATTAAACAATTTCACGTGTTTTCAGACAATGTTTCGGGCAGCTCTGGAGTCCGCTGTTGAGATGCATGGGTTTCCCCCCAGGCTGTAGGCAAGCAGTGCCCGTTTGCAGCATTGACTCTGTATTTGTTCTTCTTTTCTTTTGCTAAAACTTGCTTACTTATATCATTTTTTTCYATATTAAATTGAATTTGCACTTAGAATAGAAGGGATAAGCGACCACTTACTTCCCCTTTTCCCTTCCCTCTAGGATATGATCAACAAGACTATTTCGTAGACTAGAGATAAATAGTTAGCATAATCTTTGGATCCAAAAAGCAAACAAAAAGAAAAAAAAAGAGTGATACTTGTTTTGGGATTGGGCTTCTTAATTTATTTTCTTGAAGAACAATGGAAGTTGTTCCTTAGTGCCATTCCAGACTGTTGAGTCTGGAGCAGCCATTCGCCACACATGGCCGAAAGTGCTCATGATACTTGACCTTCAGCAGCGACCAAGGGCTGCATCAGCAGAGAGAGGTGTCCTGCTGAGGATACTTGTGAAAAGAGTTTGGATTTTTCTGTTTTCAGTGGGGTGGTGATGGTTAGTTGTTTCCATTCCAGGCATCTCAGACATCATAGAAGTCTCACTGTGGTAGGAGCCTTGCAAACACAGGGAAGGGACAGTTGCTGATCTCTTGCCTGCCCTGAAGATTTTACAAGCAGGTTAAGGATTTTTCACATGAGTCTTCTTCCTTCTCTCTGACCTCTGAAAGCCCTGGCTCCCAGGTGGAATGGAGATTCTCTGTTACTGCTTGCCCTGGATAGCAACCCATCAGAGTCCAGACTMTAAAAACACCAAAATAATTTACAGTGGTAGTTACAGCATCTTACTTAGGCTTGAATTATTTATTGCCTGTGATTTAAAAATAAAACCTCCAGGACTCGATCTGTACRAGGTGAAAGAAAATGGTTTTGTTTTTGTTTTGTTTTGTTTCCCTGGATAAAGTATTCTTATTTCTCAAAYATATTATATTCTTTTATATATTCTTATATATATTATATATTCTTTTAAATCGATAGCGTGTGAAGACATGTGAAGAATTTCCTGTTTATACCGGATTTTAGGACTCGATTTTGTTTTCAGCAGAAGTCATCGCACTGGAATAAARTCCTATGGATTTGATGGTTACTTCTGCTTGATGTTAATGGCAAGGCAGGATTAACTGGGCYTGATGCAGCATGCCGTGATCATCAGACTGCTAGAGTGGTCTTTTAACAGGCAATTTATTTTTTTCTGARTAAAAAATATGAAAGAAGATTAATTGAAGTAAATTGTACCTCTTATGGTGAATACTGTTTAAAAAATAATTGCGATTATAAAAGAGGCTGTGAAAGATTTTGAATTTGCTCCTGTTTTTTGATTTTATCTGTTCTGCAGATGCTTGGCATCTTTCTCACATTAAGCTATTTGCCTTTTTTATTTTTTTAGTGAAATCTCTCCTTTAGATTGAAGTGGYGATACTTGCAGCCTGTCTTTTTTGCAGGGGAGTTTATAGTGTTTGCTTCTTGCCCAGCCTGTGGCACTGCAGAATGCTTTTCCTCCCCGAGATAGGAGGTAGGAGTTGCCTGGATGAAAAGCACTTCTGAGCCTATTATTTCACTAGCTGCATGTTTGCTGAATATCAGGCCTCCACTTGTGCTTCACGCAAAGGCAGGCGTTTTCTTCCCTAATTATTTGTATGTAAAAGCCAACATTTCTGTTGCTGTTTATCTCAAGTTAGCTAGCAGCAGAACACAAGCTGGTGAGGGTGCTGGATTTGCTTTTACATTACATTGCTTTTCTGAGACTGAATGAGAAAGGCAGCTATAAATGACTGTCCTGCACGMCCTTTTCTTGTATTTCTTTGCCATTCACCTCTTTCTTTTTGCAAGACCACATAAAGTAACCTTAAAAAAGAATAACAGTCTGTCATTTTGGGGTTTTTAATTGTTATTTTTTATAGGCCAGCATATAGTATGTTTATTTTGAAGACTTTTATATATCCAAGTCCTGAGTCTTGTGCTTAAATTGGATGCTTGTGCTCAGTTTTGTTCATCCTCAGTGTAACTATTAAAATAAATGGAACAGAGGGTGAATTCAGCTCTTTGGCTGTCGTTGCCACGCTGTTATTCCTACCTTATAACAAAAAAGGTACTCTGCAGCCCTTTTCCAGGAAATATAAAACAGGCATCCGGCATCCGTCTGGTAGGATTCACCTAGATCTGACACTGTCCATTAGCAGATGTCAAGGGAAGAGTATAAAAGCAGAACATGCATGTAGTGATAGTCCCCAAACAGGCGCGCTCAGCCTCCACCGATGTGCAACGCGGGGCWCCCTGCAGTGGAGTGGTACCTTTCCATTTAAACTGCAATTCCCAGTGTTGCTCGGGGAACCAAAATTATCGATTCTAAGCTGTGAAAGGAAAAGTGTGGTTTTAAAGGCTGATAGCTTTCAAAAAGGACATTACATAAACCAGGATATATGTAGTTGAAGAGATTTGCCATGGTTGTTTATCTTAAAAAGTGCCCTGCGTGTGAAGTTTCTGAACACATCACCAGCTTCTCACAGCCTCGCAGTATTTTGTCTGATGATTTGATGCCAGTAGTATGCGGCGTCTGTTAGTTGTGAATATTTATTTTTTTTATTTTTAGAGCTTATGTAATGCTGCTGCTCTTTTGTCACATAAAGAAAGAGCTAATTTTGGCTTTACTCCACCTGCCCAACTTAACTGCAGTCTGTGTATATATGTATTAAAATAGTCAGGTTGCGATGCCACAACAGAGCATGTTTGAAAATCTAGAATTGATGGTTCCAAAATGATAAAATACTGAATTATCTCTGGAAAGCAGAGGTTGCATCTGTTCTCTTTAATAACCAGAGGAAGAGGAATCACAAATGAGCAGAGGAATTGCAGCCTGAGCCGCCAGCTCCTGGAGCTACCTCACCGTGTGCATCATCCTTCGGAGCTGCTTGGAGCTGCTGGCAGTAAGGCAGCAATTGGCAGAAGGTGATCAGCACCACGCTGGTTAGTGCAGAAGAACTACCAGAGTTTTCCTAGAAGCATCACTGATTTTCTAGGGATGATTTTGTGATAATTAGCTTTGAGATCACTTAAATGTGAGCCAGAGCTAAACCTGGTGTTGCCGCCTGCGCCCACCTGCGCACAGCGGCACCTTTCTCCCTGCCGCATCCCGGCTCCTTACCCATCCCATCAGGACAGCATCAGCTTCTCCTCCTGCATGTTTAACCRAGAGAGGTCCCTGGTTGCAGGGCTGGCTGCGAGGCCCCACCAGCACCAGCAGCAGCGAAGCAGCAGGAGGATGCAGGGTCAGATGCACCCAGGGCAGACAGAGCTGCCCCTTTCACTGGCAGGTAAAGTTAGGTAGATTTTAAATTGATTATGGAGTTCTGTCATTACTAGCTCTCTTTTTAGTGCGTATTTTACACCAGTTCAGGCCTCTGAATGTGTTCTGTAAACGTCTCCCTAACAAGCTACCATGTCGTCTTGCAAAGCAGTCGTGGTATAGATGAAGGATACCTAACTAGRAGCCATGTGGCTCTTTGGAAACACATCTCTCTTCATGCAAATACAAAAATTTAATAAAAATAAAACATTATTTAGAGATAAAAAAATAATAAAAGAGTGGAAAGAGAGCCCAAAGCAGTAGTGGTAAAACTAGCCCTAGTATTTATAGACTGAGATTTTTAGCTGTAGGCTAAAACGTGGGCTCATTTGTGTTCATAGTTAGATGTGCTCTTACAAGGTTTTTTAATGCTAAGGATGCAGTCACTGCTGTGGATAAGCAGTATGTTAGAACTAAAGGAACTTTGTCCATTATGCGGATAAAATAATAGCACTGGTGCTTGCTTAGGGAATGATCACAGATCAGGGAGTTAAGATTTATCACCATCTCATAAGTTCATATCTCAGCTGCAAGGCAAAATTGGAACGTTGCATTCAGAAGCACTGTGGGTTTAATGTAAAAAGCAGCATTTTCAGTTAATAAACGTTTTGTACAGCAAGGCACGGGTGGAAGCGGAGTCGGAGGAAGCTGAGTGATGCAGTGATTCTCCTTGTTAGGCAGCAATTCTCCTAGCTCTGCCTAGTCACAGGGCTGATCTGATGAAATTGCTGTGTGCTAAAATGCACCAGCCAGGCAGGAAATGAACACGTTGCACGTGCAAGATGGAAGCCATTCCCTCGAGTGAAGAATCCAGGTGCTCGGTGCTGGTGCAGTCCTGCAGACTGTGAGCGACCGCCTTGGCCCTGCTCAGTGCTCTCCTTCTGATACGGGACCGTGACTGCCGAGCGCTTCCGAGCCCGTGTGGAGAAACGTAGGGGAATGATCACAGTGAGAAGGGCTGCTGGTGTGGCATGGTGTGCAAGCACAGGAGACATGGGACAAAGGCCCTTTTCTCCTGTCCTGCCTGGTAGATAGATACCTCGGTATGTCGCCTGTGAGCGAGAGACTGAGTTGGGCCTGTTCAGCTTGGAGAAGAGAAGGCTGAGGGGGGATCTCATTAACATGTAAGTTCATGAAGGGTGAATGCAGGGAGGAAGGGGCCAAGCTCTTCTCCTTGRTGGCCAGTGACAGGACAAGGGGAAATGGGCGTAAGCTGAAACACAGGAGATTCCATCTCCAGGTGAGGAGGAACTTCTTTGCTGTGAGGGTGAGAGAGCCCTGGCACAGGCTGCCCAGGAAGATTGTTGGAGTCTCCTTCTCTGGAGGTCTTCAAAACCCACCTGGATGCCGCCCTGTGCCACATGCTCTGGGTGTCCTGGCTGGATCAGGAAGGTTGGACTAGATGATCTCTCGAGGTCCCTTCCAACCTTGAACRTTGTGTGATTCTGTGAGCGGGCATACGTCTACATGTGCCTTCTCTTCCGTTGCAGCACCCGCGAGAGCCTGGCGTCCAACACCTCGAGCATCGTGGAGAGCAACAGGCGGCAGAACCCGGCGCTGAGCCCGGCGCACGGCGGCGCGGGCCCCGCGTTCAGCTTCCGCGCGAGCGCCGAGCCGCCGCCGAGCGAGGCCGAGAAGCTGCAGAAACCTGCCAGCTGCCTGCAAGCCTCTGTCACGAGTGTCTGATAGTCCGTCACGTCTCCGGTCGCATCCTATACAGCAACGTTTACGACACTGGGACTGATGTTTACATCTTTGGGGGGAAAAAAAAAGAAAACCCACGCATCTCGACCACAGTTTTGGTGTTTACTTAAACTGTGCTGCTATGTAGACTAGGAGCAACAAAGAAATCTTTATTTCAAGGTATTGCTTTTCACGTTTGCGGCTCTGTAGCAACAGAATAGCAGTAGGGATAATATGTACACTTTTTGCTTCACTTAATTGTAACTGAGCACATATATGAAAGTCTAGACACTGTAAGTGTAATCTGCATTTTCAATGTCCATGCAGTTGCCAACTTCATTTAAAAAAAAAAGAGGAAAAAAAAAATGCCACAGATGTGTGATGCCCCCGGTCAGAGGCTCAGCTCTGCTGCAGAGCTGGTCGTTTTTTACTTGGGAAACTGAGCCACTGCTGAAAGTAGCCAGCCAGGATCACTTTGAGGAAAAACAATGCCAAACATGACAAGTGATGACCTCAGCTCTAGCTGTGAATTATTAATACCAATCAGTCATTTTCACTGTGTGGTTTTGTGACATGGTTTTGCAAATACCCGTATAAGGGAGTAAAAGGAGGTTGTGGTTCTTGTTTTTTGGGTTTTTTTCTTTAAGTATGTAGGGTGGGGAGGGAGACTGGCTTCCTATTTGTGTCTCAAAAGTATGGGAGATGTTTACGTTCCGAAGCTTGCTACTTGACCTTCCATAGTCATGAATGAGGAGGAGGAGGAGGAAGGCCTTGGCAGAGAGGGGGAAAGGGGAGGGAAGGGAAAGTTGAAGTGTCGTGGAGCCACAGTGTGGAGTGACACAAATTATCTTTAGTATAAATCAGATATTTAAAAGAGACCATCTCATTTCCTGTGTCACTTCGGTATTGCAGCTTGCCATTAATATAAGAATCAAAATAGCTAATTTCTTTGAACAAAAATATTCTTTATGATATAAATGACGAGTATGACCTGAAGAAATTATTTCTTTCTAGTGGAAGGACATAAATCTATTTTATGTAGCTTTTTAAATAGAGTGCCTAAATTAGGCTATTGAAAATAGCATACATTGTAGTGATTATCAGAGAACAAAATCTAGAGAATTATAAACTTCTGGCCTTTCTATACAGTGGATGTTATTTGCAATTTAGCATTTCATGGACACGTCTAGTTTTGGGAAATTAAATGTGTCCATAGGGTTGGCAGTAGAAATCTGAATTCTGTAGGTATAGTATATCCTAATTATTCTCCCCTAAACCGTTACTCCAAAGTAATTAATAATAAGCTAGTTACTGCAGAGTAACTTCTAAGAATAGTTAAACTCCAAGAGTAATTTTTAGGTATAGGGTCACGTTCTGCTCTCTTACTCATGCAATTTGATAATGCAACAAAGTGACTTCAAAATTAAGTATATATTTATTTTTTATGAGAACAGTCGAGTTGGTGGAAGAATAGCAAAGATATTAAAACACTCAGCAGTCCAAATTGTTGAATACAAAAGGGACATTTACATGGTCTAGCCCTTGGTAATACACAGGTCTTAAGCCCAGCTGTACATATTAAAAGGCAGTATTTTCATCAGGTTCTGGTGACATGTAACTGCTTTGTATAAATCATTTGAGCCTCACTCACACTCTGTATTGTCATCAGAAGGCTTTCCTGAAGATTCAGCCTTACGTTGCACAGTTGGATATAGTTCATTTACTTAAAAAGCGACTTTCTAACTCTGGACACGCTCGGTTTCCGATTTTATCAAGAACATATTTATTTCATCCCCAGTAAACGCAGAGGTCTGGTTTACTTGTTGCCAATGTATAAATTCCATTTCATAGGAGCAATAAGACCTTTCAGTGCACATAAAGGAAATTATTGTGCTTTTGGTTGGTTATCAAAGTCACTTGGCCTTCAGCCTTCTGCCTTATCATACCTTCCAAGATGTGCTCTAATTACCATATAATGCTTTGCATGACGCATCTTATTGTTCGATATGTAACTCCAGCAGTACTTACTACCTGCGAACTGTAGATTCAGAGTTTTTGTGGGGAATTGTCATATACTATGCAGTGGCTGACTGTGATTTTGTTTCTGAGATGAGCTCTGACAGTAGTATGTATCAATTCAGTAAATAAAAATGTCAAAACTTACCTTAATTTATAGCTGATGATCTGAAGTACTAAATGGCAGTATTAAAATGTGAACAGCAAAAGCAAATTTTACCTTTTGGGGAAATGTCTGGTTGTCATAAACTAATCGGAGTTTATGCAGGCAGCTGGTTGTGCAGAAGATACCATTACAACAAAACATGGTAATATATATACCTGCAAGCTGTATAGCATGTTATTTCCTAAAGTTCCCATAGACCAGCAGACAACACAAATGTCATATTAATGTTGACATGGCATTGTACCAATATTAATGTGACTCTTGGAATATGGAATGTAAACAGAAGTTTCAAGTAGAAACGTTCTAATCTTTAATTTTATTTCCTTTTAAATCAACAGTGGAATATAAGGAAATTCCGTCTTGAGGTTCTGGTAACAAAACCACGAGAGTGGAGCTTGAGTGCTTTATGTCACCCTAATCCTTTGATGAAATCATAGCCTTGTATTATGTGGTTGCTTATCTATCATTCTTCTTCTAATGTATCAATTTAAAGGTTTACAGAATTAGATTAGGTTAAATCTGTGTTGTGTTCAGCTGTAAAGGGTCAACACAAATCTGTCGGCATTTTGCACACTTAATATGTATTATTATAATACAACATGTTACTTTTATGGTAATTTTTTTTACACATATAACTACCTCCATGAATTTGATGAAATGCAGCAACATAAAAAGTGTATTGTAAAAAAGCAAGGTTAAATACTTTGAAGCATTAGGTCATGGCGTTCTCGTGTGTGTCAATGCTTGCATATGAAGTCATCATGTTTCCATTGCCACAATTTCCTTTCGCTATATTAAAAAATCTGGCTTTTTAGATGAATCACTTGAGATTTTGACAAGGCCACATGATTTGGTTAGAAGTGAAAGGGAGGAGGCTGAAACCTTCGATCCTCTCCTCAGTTACTGCTAACATTTCTGCCTGGTATAACTTGAAAATGTATTTGTGCTTTAGCAAAATGGGAACATCTACAGTCTGTGAAATATGATTGACAGCTTGAGGTTTAACAGAAGACACTGGGTATTTTCTTGGCAGCCTTCAAATTCTTTGGGGCCCTACTCTGCCTCCCATTTTTGCCAACATATCAGGTCAGAGTTTCTCTTAACGGGCTAAAGCAGAGTGTACTGGATTTTAAAATAGCTCCTGCTTCAGTGATACACGCTGTTTTCTAAACTGTGCATTGAAACACTCGCTCCTATAGAAATCGCCAGCAGCCTTTAAATTGACTTCCCTGGGAGCAGTAYTAGGGTCCCTGCTCAAGGTGTGCGTCTATTGTTTGGAGAAAGCTGGAGAGTTTCCAGGAAAAATGAAATGGGCTTTCGAGAAGTAGCCAGTTGCAACAGCCACCTCTAAAGAGAGAGAAAAAAAGAGATTTTTTTTTTCCCCAAAAACCAAAGGAAGAAAGTGGCAGTTGAACCTAAGCAGATCACATTTATGTACAAATCCCGATTTACGAACACCTCTTTCAGCAAACCCAGTACCATAATCCTGATGCAGATAGATTGATAAATAATCATCTGTTGAGCTAMTTTTGCTGTATGAATATTTCAGTTAAAAATCATAAGAAATCATTATCCATTCGACTCTTTGCACCACTGTAAAATGTCCGTAATACAAGAAACACTGTTTGCTCCACTTTTATAATGTAAAATGTATTGGGAAACAAAGATTTTAATGAAAACYGTGGCTTAAGTGATCATTAGAAGAAGTCATTTTTATAAAAGCGAATAAGCAAACCAATATTCGCAGTATCCTCTTTAAAAGTCTTTAGGGTAAGTCTAACCGGTAASAAAGTGGTTTATGTTTATAATCCACAGTTATTCGTTTGATGCATTAAGTTTGTGTCAGAGGAGAGAAACTAGCTTGGAGTCCGGCACYGACTCTTACAGTAGCAGTGCCAAAAAAAATTGCGTTTTCAGTCATAYGAGTACTGCCAGCAGTGGTTTTCAGGACGGTTAATTAAAAATTTGTCTTTCGAATACATTTCACAGAACTTTTCCCAACGTGATTGCTCAAATTGTTGTGCTGAGTAAGCGGATAGCACTCTCTTAATCTGGTGTCACACCCACCGTTTACAATTCTCTTTGCTCTTCTGAAGAAAGCTGTACAGTATTAGAGAGAAATGTTCTATTTTTTACATAATTCTTTAAGAGAGAAAAAAAAAAGTATATATCTAAAATGTTCCCCCCCTCAACATAAGTAATGTGGTTCATGCATCAGAAAATTTCTGCTGCATACAGTGGACCCAACTAAAAGCCAAGCTGGTGCTAGAAGAAACGGGACTATCACTCTTCCTCTAAGGCAGCACTCTAAATTTTGATTTCAGTTACGTGGGTGTAAATCTGACGAAACTCCCCTGATTTTACCCGGCTCTAACGGAGATCAGAATCTGTCACTAACTCCTTTGACGCTCTATTCTGAGCTGAGGATTTCTGTGTTCCTCCCCTTGAAAAAAACGAGACACCCAAGAAGGAGCAGAAGGCCACATGCATGCAGCTGGATTTGGAAACCCAGCTCGGGGTGAATCCCTAGCGCAATGCGCAGTCAGCAGCCCCTTCCCCAGCCGGGATGCCAGGACAAAAACCACGGGCTTTGCACCTYGGAGGGCAATTTTGGGTGCAGTGCAGTGCCCTCGGGTGGTGCCGTGGTTAGAGCCACCCAAAGGATACCCACCCGTAAGTACGAAAGGGCTGGCAGGGCCCTTGGAGCAATTGGCACAGATGTTACTTCTAAACGTGGAGGAGACTTGAAGCTGAAGGGATCCTAATTCCGCAGGCGATTTTCTGTAAAAGTGACTGAATGTGGCTGTTGCATTAGGTTTAAAAAGAGTTAATAAATGCAAGTGGGACTTACTGTATGTTAGAAGGGAGTTTTGCAGCCAAGACTGCCTTGTATAAATGTGTTTGCACTGAAAAAAAAAAAAATTAAAAATTACTTGGTCTCTGGTTGCTGTAAAGGTCATCCAAGATGGATGTTCTGTTTATATTGTATAGTATTTCATATGAAATAATTACAGTTCATGAAATGTCTTCCCTAACGTTACTGATTTATAACAGCACATTTGTAACATGGTTTTTATTGTGTCAGTGTACCATATTGTAAATGATGATTACTTGTCATGCTTAGTATAATAATTTAAAGGAAAAAAAAGGACAGGGATTTTTGTAAGTCTATATTTGAAAGTCCCTCCATATGGTAATATTGTGTTCATGTTGTTTATGTAGTGTTGTGTGAAATATCCATTTTGGATTGTGTTACTTTTTAAGATATTAAATAACATTTGGTTATATGTTTTAAGTGGATTTTTTGCACCCACCAGTGGTTTTCAGAGAAAATGCTTCTGTTTCCGTTTAACACAAATGCTKCTTTCCTTCATTTAGGAGACCTTGCACAGCAAACTAGAAATGGCAGAAAACCCAGGGCCATTGAGGCCTGCTCTGTTCTTGTGTGCTTTATGAAATGTCTGTGACCGTTTCTGGTTAAGAGCGCGCACGGGACAAAAACCACAGATTCTGAAACATCCCAGTTTGAGTGGGACACAAAGGCCACGTGGAGAGTGATCCCAACTGAGGGCCAAGCTGATGCACAGCAGAGCTCCAGGAAACAGAAACCTCTTTRAGGGCCTCTGACAACAGCCAGCAACAGATTTCTCTTCCCTCCTGCCCTCTCCTCTGCATCATCACCAAAGGAGGACCTAGTGTGCACACAGCTAACTTTTTTTTCCAGATTTTTACAAATATACCCATTTTTTTCCACACTCTTGACAGCGGCTGATGGGACAAGTCCAAGTGGCCAATGTAACGTGAGGTGTCATTCTCCAGCCTCCCTACCAAAGCCTGCAGGTAGGCTGCGATGACACTCCAGAAGCTCTGCTGCAGCGCACGTAACTTGGGAACTGCTCTTTGCCAGGGTCAGCTGCACAAGCCATAAAAATGTGAGATGTACAAGATGTACAGGATACAAAAAAAGCACCCACGGGTGGATATCTGTGCTGCCACAAGCTTCCCACCTTGGCTTGCCAACTGTTTGGGGCACAGGCTCTTGCAGAGCCACTCCTGCTGCTTGCTGGTTCCTTCCCATCCATCTCTTCCCTCCATAATCCGTCTCCTTGGATTTGTTGGTTCTGAACTGCAGGGAAGGCTTTCAAGGTCAGGCTGGGCCAACATTTGCCTAATTAACAATTAGGCAACAAGGCAACAATTAATTAACAATTGCCAACATTGGCCTAATTAATTGTCCTCTTCATTCCTTGTGTAGGCAGGATCAATTCTGGATGCTCAGTATCTGACTTCTTGGAATTTGAGGGGTTTTCGGTATAGTTGTAGAGGTTTGGAAAGGCTGTTTCAGCACACMTACAAATAGCTGAAACGTGGTCCCTAACAAACTTATGGCCATTCTTTGGCTGAAGAGCCAGATTGATAATGCTGTTGGATCATGCCTTTCTGCTTAGAGTGCTGGCTGAAGATGCAGATGTCCTTCCCGCTGGAAAAGGGCCCTGTTGAGGGTTTTCCATCTCTCYAGAATTCCCATCTCTCCATTGGTCTCTGGATTGTTCCTCTAGGTCTGTTGCCTCCTGATTTATTTTCTGTAATATCCTCCTTCCTTTTCTTTCCATCTCTGAGAATACCTTCAATTTCTGCTTCTTTTTGGCATTTTATTTCTACTTCGAGTTTGGGGKTTTTTTTCACACTTCATGTTACGTGTCCTCTGCTCATTTTCTCACTCTCCACCCCCAGAAATGGCACCCCAGTGCTCTACAGCCTTTTCCAGACTTTTCAATGGCTGACTTTTCAGTGACTGACTTTGCCACTTTCCCTGCTCACTTGAAAGACCTCAGAGGTCTGGACAGGAGCTCCTGCCTTCAGAACATGCTGCTGAAGGTTTGTGAAGGTGGAAAWGCCAAGGAGGAAAAGCCAATCCTCCGATACCAGCCCTGCTCCCCTCCTCGCCCTTTGCACTGCTGCTGCTGTTTTATCTCTGTGCTCTCCTGCTGGACTCGGTGTTTCGAGGGCCGGGAGAGGAGCACCACAGTCCTGAAGATGGCTGGGACAGCAGGTTGTGTTTGTCTTAGGGTGCCAGGGCAGGGCCCAGGGGACTGCTTAGGAAAACAGCAATTAAAAAAAAAAAAAAAAAAAAAAAAGGCAGCAGTGCTCCTTCTTCCTGGCATTTTCCGAAGAACAATGGTGTTCCCGCTGTTGGGCACGGCTCTCAGCTGCAGCCGAGGGGAGCTCTTCACGCAGCATTGGAGATGCGGGGACTTCGGTGGCCGCCAGTCGGATGATAAAGAGAAATCAGAAATCAGGTGTTGAGAGGGCTGAACTTTCGTTTCTGAGCAGATTCCTCCAATGCCTTCAGGTCTTTTTTTTTAACAGAGCCTTTTCAGTCCAGCTCGCACGGTAATGATAAACCACGGGGATTGGGAAGGGGAAATCTCAAGTACTTTTTATTTGTGCTTGTCTTCTTTTTCTCTTCCCTCATCCTGGTAAGCACAGAAGACCTAACCATTTGCTGCCAGAATGTAAGAAAACAGCAGATCTGCCTGCATCTACATGCCTGTGTATTTATGTACTTWGTTTCCCTCCTGTCTTCCTTATAGAAACACGGAGCTAGTTTTGGCTTGAGTTCTCTGCATCCGTCTGCTCTTGCCCCTGGGCAGCCTGGGGTGGACCAGTTGTCCATTGCGGACCGGTTGTCCATTTCTAGAGAGGGTTGAGAAGCTGGTGAGAGATCCGTCTTTCAGGGTATTCAAAGCTCTTGGTGCTGGATCGGAGCCAGTGGCCTCCCCCACGCGCCTGGATGAGGAAGGCTGCATCCAGCTTGGAGCTTCCTTGCGGAGCGGGATGGTGCTTCTGGAGTGGGTCTCCGGCCCACGCTCGCTTGGCCGTGCGGCAGGACACGGTGCTGCGCGCTCGGGGCGCCTCAGCTGGCTTCTCCTGCCCTCCAGGAGCGGGGCATGGCCGTGCGGCCACCACGGCGCTCCAGAGCCGGGATAACGTGGACGTCGGATCTCGCACCGGCTGCTGGGCTCTGGCAGTGAGCTCGCAAGCCAGCTGGAAACTGCCTGTGTGTGTTGACAGGGCGAGGAGCCCTTGGAAATGAGCCCTGGTGAGTGACGTCGGAAGCTCCCATGGGTTCCTCCGTCCTCCAGGAGCTCCGAGGCTCCGGAGTTGGTGTGTGGTGCAGAGGGCAGGCCCCGTGCGCGGAGGCTCCGGCTGTTGGTCTCCGTGTGGGAGCCAGGGCCCGGCTCCTGCTGCCGGCAGCCGCTCGCTGCGTCTCTGCGCCAGCCAGGCTGTGTGAGACGGCCCCACGGCGGGGACAGCCCCACGACGGGGACGGCCCCACGGCGGCCGCTCAGCCTCCATGCTGAACCTCCTGCTAGGCCTGCTCCTTCCCCTCCTGGGGAATACGGATCCACGCGATCCCCTGCTCTCTCCTGCGCCTCCACGGGCCCAACCAACTCCAGCCAGTGCCCAGAGCGGGTGTGTGGGGAAAAGGGTCCCGCCTGTCCATGTTAGTGCTTGCCTCTGGCTCGGGCCCAGGGCGAGCTTGCCGGAGAAGCCCCCTTGAGCCCGAGGTGCCAGGGCCGAGCATTGCCCCTCTGGTCACTGATGGCTTTCACACGCTCGGCACCAGGCCAGCGCAGCCTGGCAGAGCTCCCCAAAGTCACAACATTCTTATTTACTTACTTATGTTTAACCTGACGTGGTATGTGTTTTTTGCTGCTTCTGAAGGAGTCCTGAGCCATTTTGCCCAAAACTTCCCAGGAAACCCATGCTTGAGGCCGAGGCCTTGGGCTTGGTGGGCAGAGGGACCTTCCAGGAGATGCGGAGAGCCCAACTCACTGCAGGACACAGAGCAGATCCATCCCAAAACGGAGCACACACGGTGCTCACTTTCCTTTGGCTCTTTCTCCCTTGCTTCTAAAGAAAGTCATTTTTCTTCTGACTATGGCATTTTATATTTAACTGGTCCCTGAAGGACCTTTGAGATTTATTATTCACTTGTAAAGAAGAAACTAATAGTCTTCAGGCTTAAGGTAGCCAGTATATTTATTGCCATTACTTATTACCAATGTATTTACTGCTGTTACTTATCGCCAGTATTACATACGGTTCTTCAGTTATGATTTTATTATTACCTATAATGTAGTACAGAGAGAAGATATTTCTCATGCTTCACTCCTATAAAGCAGATAGATAGATAACCATTTCACAGTTTGTACAGAAAAAGTATTCTAAAACAAAATGAGAAATCTTATTTGAGGGATGGAAGTAGGAAAAAAACAAACACAAGAATACTGAAGCTTTATGGAATGGCAAATAGTTTGCTGAATTTTAGATCTTTGAAGGAATGTCGTGGTATAGCAAGGACTGATTAACAGGCCAAATATCCAGTGTGTATCAAATTGAAATGCAACATATGTTAAATAGGATGATATTATTTTCATGTATGTGTTTTTTTTTTTACTGCATATTTTGAAAATGACTTTATTTGCTTCACCTATAAAAGACAGCTGCATTATCTCTTTTGTGTCTCTTTGCCAAACAATTTGAAACTGGAAGGAAAACAACTATTTTAAAAAGTTTGCAATATTTGTAGAAATGCCAATAAATCCTGTGCA